GCATATATATATATATATATATTGTAGCCTTCGTATGGAAAAAGATTTTTTAAAAAAAATACAGGTTCTTTTCAAGGCAAGTTGATTATTGACTTGTGACCTACAATTCAAGATGCCTTGCAAGTGTCTTTTGGACACGACAGAAAATGATAGACTCGAGTTGAAACTTCTTTTGGTAGAAAAGGTGTTAATGAAGGATGTAGTGCTTCTCAAATCTCAATCTATTCTATATGATATTTTTTCTCAATGCGTCGACGATGAGTGATGCACAATCGCTATAATACATAAATTCAGAGGAAGCACATCCTTCATTGGAGGATCAACATGAGTGGAGAACACTAATTAGTAAAACATCGACTAGGAACTAGAGTTGTTTAATTAATGAATCCAGCATCCGCATCCATTGTTTGTTTGTATTTGGGAAAAGCCTTTAAAAGTCAGCAACTAAAATTGAAATTAATTAACGAATATAGGCAATAGATTAGGCTATAAATTAAGTTATTAAACATTTCAGCAACTCTAGGAAGTCGATAGACACATTGCAACTAACAAAATCCACCTGTACAAACAAGCATAGAAGCTACGATAGTTGGAACTTGGAAGAACGCCTACACCCAGAGCCAAAATGAAGTTTCAACTCTTCGATTTTGACATGGTTAAGTGAGATTGTACGTTCTGATTCCCTGAAGTCTAAACCCCAACCCCTTGATGTGTGCATGTGCATGTGAATTCGTAAATTAGTGCCACTCAAGATTAAAAAATAAAAAACAAAAATTGGTGGGGTGAGGGTGAGGAACAATTAACCATCGAATCCAGTTACCCCTTATCGCGCAATTTAGATTACACAAGAAACGTGGGATATAGACAAAGTACCTTTGTCCGATTATTCCATTCAAAATTTTCACATTCCCTTGAAGGTGTCAACAATAATGTAATAATTTTCTAAAAATAATGTAACTAAAGACGAGAGATAAATTGGGGTTAGGCATATTACAATAAACGCTCATAATTAAATTCACGGCAAGGGAAAGAGAAATTAACAGATGTAGTATCTAAATGAAACTGAATGTACGAGGTTTGGTAAAATGAACCGTTGTGTGTGTATAATATAATAATATTAGTATCTGAAATTCATAAAACAGAGTACCTTGGGGGTGTGATGAAGGGTATTATCATAATTACATATCGTGAGTGTAGAAGTCAATAATCTCCTTCAAGTTGAGCTGAAACAAAGAAGAGGCATCATTGTGCATGAGCCACAACATGTGTTCGAACAAGATGTGATCCACGTCCACAAAGATGACCCTCCGGTGAGTGGAGGTGAAATGGAAGTGGTCCTTTTCAATCTCCGATGGGTCCTTCTTCATGGAGATATCCATCAAAAGCCGAAACGGGTTCTCTTGCAATATGAAAGGGTCCACCATGAACACCCTCTTCTCTTTTCCAACCACCACCGTTACGGGAGCCTCGGATTCGTGCTCCAACTCCAAGGTGTGATGTTTTGGTAGAGGCACGTACCCCATCCTTGAACCCGTGGAACGACGCCGGATCAACGAAACTGGCATCACCAAACAATCCATGGATGCAACCTCTAGAACTTGCAAGGAGTTAATGTAAGATATTATTATATGATAAAGTTTTGGTGTGAAATGTAATGTAACCTTAGTTAATATATTGTTTAGGTGACCATATGGGAAAGAAAAGGTTACTTTGGATGTATATTTCGGTGACGTATGGGAAGTAGCCGTTGGAGAAAGGATCCCTTGGAACGTACGCTCGCGAGGATGCGCGTGGGCTCGTGGCTAAAGTTTGGTCAACAGTCAACGAGACATTGGATTTGGGACACCGGACACGCAAGTTCCAAGTAACTCATTCAATCTTACCATCGCGGCTTTTGTCTTGTCACATGTGCAATCAATATTGGTGTCAGACACTAACCTTAATTAACATAAGTGATTATCAAACACATTCATTGCAACAATTAATTTTCCAATTACACATTTAAAAGCGAAATAAAATGCACGGTAGGGTAGGGTAAATCATTAATGATAATTTTATTGTTGGTTATTTTTGGGTCGTTGACTCTGTCCTTTCAAGTAACTAAATGTTGTTCTATTTTGGTAATGTATATTGTTCCTCTAGTTAAAGGAAAGATATAAGTTTACTATCACCATGTCTAGACTAGATTTGAAGTTACACTCCCACGATTTGTAGAAAAACGATGGACAGCCCAAAATCATTAATTAATGGATGAAAACGAATATTTCAAGTGACTTTAGTTAGAGTAGTTAGGGAATTAGGTTAACGCGTTTTATGTGTTTTCCATTTAGTTGTCGGTGATAAAAATTTGGTAGTGTTTTATGTGTCAATTGCGCGTAGCATCCTTCCATCCAGCTCAATAGGTAGTTCGCCCTCAATCAATTTTTTCTTTCAACACTTTCCCACATTGCATTGGATTAATGGTCCATTTACTTGTACTTTTATTAAAATAAATAATTGAATAAGTTGCTTTAAAATTGGAAAAGAAAAAAAAAAACACTAAATGTTCACACTATGGAAGGGGGGAGAGATAAAGAGAAAAAGTATGGCATTAAGTGCAGACCAACTAACACATTAAGTGCAGACCAAAGGACATGTCAAACTATGCCATTTGCCAAATATCAGTGCTTCGTATTTGATAGATAATGTAATGATTTTCCCCCCTTTTTCTGAGATGGGGTTGTTATATTTATCTCTCCATCTTTTTTTCATTTTCTATAATTTCGAGTCTATTAGGTTATTAAATATTTATCATGAAAAATATTTATCTTTAGTATATATCTAAAACTATAATAATAGAGGAGATCTAAATTCTTTATCCATATTCCGTTCTATTCCGTGGTTTTCAGGTTTAGGGATAAACAACTCGTCTCTTGGATATTTACTTACAAGATGCGATGCATGTTGTAGGAAAATATTTGTGCAAGTTCATAGAGTGATGTATTCGGCCTATTATACGCTCATTTTTGCTTACTGATTTCTATTTAATCACTATTTATTTAAGTGTCTGAGTAGGAATTCGTAAATTTTGAATAATTAAGTAGTTAGGTTCAAAATAATGAAAATACCTCATTTAGATTTTTATTTTTATTTATTTATTTGGGTCGAAGACGAAAAAATTTTAAGATGGCCAATACGTCCCCTAAAGCCATAATTATAAAATAAAATACTGAAAATAGATGTGAGCATTTAAAATTTATGATGAAGTAATAAATATGTATAGAATGATTAACTATAAAAAAAATTTCGGGAATTCATAAAAATTTTATGTATGAAATGATTAAAATACTCCTAGTTGGACCTGTTTAACTGTAGAAGACCAATGAGACTTTTTGGCCGAAAAATATTTTTGAAATTTTAACTGGTTATAATAATTCTATTATAATTAGAAGAAAAATTATTTGAAGGTAAATAATTTGAAAATGGTATTTATTTAACAAAAAAATTGATTAATTAATTGTAGAAAATAATATAATAATTAAAAATTTTAAAATCTAAGATCAGTTTTGGAGTGGGCTTGGACGTGACAACCCTGGACCCTGGTGAGGCCCAATTTTATCATAAACAGATAAAAAGTCTAATCCTAATTTATTACATTAATATTTAATAATTTTGAATTTTCACCTGATTATTAAAATAAAATAAAATACAAAATAAAAAAATTACTGCTGCAAATTCATGCCACTTTAGGAAGATGTGGAAGCTCTAGAGTCATCTATTAAAATATCTCTTGAACTATCTTTAATAAAATTCTAATTTTCACCTAATTTTTTATTAAAATAAATGAATTTCTTTGATAAAATTATGCATCATTTTCCCACCACATTCTTCTCCAAACCTTCTTTTCCATTCAAGGCCATTTTAAGGTATGGAGAAAGTGAAGATTAGCCCTTCTATTTCATCAATTAAGAATTTATGAAAGAAGTTGACCTTTAAATCTCTATGGTTTTTTTTTAATAAAAAAATATAATTATATTCTATTAAATCAGTCTTCATAAGAATAAATTAGTATTTTTGATCAAAATTATATACTTAAATAAAATATTAAGCTCCTATTTTTAATTAAAAAATATGAATGTTAAACTACTTATACAAACGATCTTTCTTTCATATTTCTATTATATAAGTGTTTTGTTATTAAGTTTGTTTATTAATTTTTATGTATATATTTGTCGATATATTATGTTGAATGAATTATATTTGATGATTTAACTACTTTATAAAGTTTATTTATACATGATTCATTTGGTTGATGATGATTATAATTAAAAATCAAACATTAATAACAAAGGTATTAACATTCATTATATGATAATGCATTTGATTAAGATATTCAAATGACATTCAATTGTTACTCATTATCTCTCATATAATGGCATAAAGATTAACATATTGTCTCAAAAGCAAATAAAATATATAATCACCAAATCAATTATATATGGTCACAACAAAACATGAGAAGATTTAGAAATCAATATCTCTAAAATATAGAGTAAAAAATGTTCATCACCATATAAATTGATATGCACTAATTTATATCAGTTACAAGGTGAATTTCATCTTATTCATGAGAACTAGTATTGATTATTATTCTCACTATGGAGAGAATCTTAAGAATTAATTGCCCACATCATTTTCCAAATGATGAATCTTATTTATTCATAAAGAATAATATTCTCAAAATAATACTATTATTAATTTTTTGCTTCCATACATATAAATAAATATTTAATTATCCTCAGTGTTTTAACATAAATAATTAAATATATAGTGTCTTGACATAATATGCTAATCATGATTGTGAATCACGTAACATGCACCAGACATTTAAATAGTAATTACAACCCAAAGTAATTTAATTTTCAATTAAGATATCATAATTGAATATAATAATATGTTATGTACCATGAAAAACTATTACTCCATAATAATTATTCACACATAAAATATTTAACACATGTTGATTGAGAAAATTTAGATAGATTCTTACCAAATTGGTTAGCAAATTAATCATACTTACTGCTATTGATATGAATTCCTTCTTGCGAAACCCTTCGCTTTCTACGAGACTCACCAATGGCAAAAGCACATCAGACTAACCAATTGATATCTTGCTCTCCTTCATATATGACGGTCGCAACAATGCATACACGCGTTCTCCTTTGTAACCTTATGTTTAACTCTCACATTCATCAACAATTTTCATAAATAATTGTAAGTTTTATAGATTGTTGACCATGGATGCTGAAAGTACAAAATAATATAAATTCTTGAAGCATACTTATCCACAACAAGTCCCCACCAGTACTAAATTAAGGATGCAGAACTAACAAGATCTTAAATCAATATCTTTTGTTGATTCCCAGTATTAATATAAACGAACTAGAAATTATAATTAATCACGAGAATTAAAAATAATTAATTTTAAAATGGTTGATAATTAAAATTATAGCATTCATATTATTATATTTCATTAAAACCAATATTAATTAAATTTTAAAATCTATAATTAATAAAATATTGTTTTTGAATTTAAATATAAATTCAAAATAATTTGATGAAGTAATTAACCTTTTAAAATATCTTAAAATATACAACAAATTAAACTCAAATAATAGAACATTTGTTAATGATATATATATTACATTATTACTAACTACTGTTATAATAGAAATAAAGAAGGAAAACTTAAATTTGTATAATATACACGGGTACATGTAGTTTCGATAATGGTAATCTAACTTCGACAGATTATGATTTTACAATTAGTTAGTAATTAAAATAAAAGTAGGTATAAGTTGATTTGATCACCGAAATTAATATAACCTATGCCTAAGGAGTTGTATTTTAAAAAATAATAATAATAATGATAAGACAAAATTTAGATATAGTTCTTTAAATGTAGTTAGTGTTGTCATCCAATTAAAATTAAAATTTTACCTCAATACTTATTAATATACATTTAAACATACTATTCAAAATAAAATTCTGATTAGAGAACACTAAACATACTTAAAAAATTGTTACTAAATTGTATATAATAATATATGATGCAACTAAGTTTTGTCTATAATAACATTAATATATGATGAAAGATTATACGGCTTTCGATCACATCCAAATGATGCTAATGATTAGTGAAAAACCAGATTAGTTCATAACGATTTAAGTCAGACCCTAAATTTCCCATTACATTTATTTACTAACTTCTTTGCTATATTTTGTTATAGGTCAGTCCTATAAACCTTTTGTGAAAACATTTTGTTAAAATAACTTGCAATGTATATCCTGTGTGAGTTCTTTATGTAGTTTCTTTACCGTATATGTGTTCGATAGCTAATTTATCTTTTAAAATAGATATAAGTATATTTTTAGATGATGTATCTTTTTGGCTACCAGGTAAACCCAACTTATCAAATCTCAACCTTTAATATTTTACTTTTCGTTGGTCAGATTTTCTCTTCAAACACAGCAAGAATAAAGAAAAAAAGCCATGAATGAAAATTCAAAAAGGAAAAAGTAATGAACACAATTCATATATCTAATGAACGCATGCACAGGGGAACACAACTCATATATCTAATAAATGAGTGTGGATCCACATCCGTAACAGGCTCCAATAACCAAAAACTATCATAACTAACACTGTTCCGATTATGATTTAAAAATTCTAATCCACAGAAAAATAAAGATAAATAGATTTTGACCTTAAGATAATCCTCCTAAAATCAGTTCCAAAACCAATGATGGATGTTAGAATTTCAATTTGACTTCTAGTCACTACTTTGAACAATAATCATGCCAATATTCTGCTTCGACAATGCTAAACCTAAAATTGCACATCACTGCTGAGTTTGTCCTGCCCATAGTTGATGATGGTACATCGGAATGTTATGAACGGACTGACTAGCATTATTATTGTAGAGTCCTGGATCACCTGACCCCTTGCTAAAATGACCATTCTCATTATCATCAGAGGACTCAGTTGAATTCCCTTGAGATGTAGGAGTGGTTGGAGTCACAGGACCACCAAAAGTTACCATTTGGGATGATGGTGTCACAGCCGGTCCAGATTTTGGGTTACTTGAGCTAGACTTCTTACCATCCGCAACAAAACTCCCCACAATGATCTGTTGATGATTTTTTAGAAGTCACAGAAATAATGCATCAGAGTTAGATCAATCCTTCATGCAGAAAAACTCTTCAATAGCCAAAATCATGTATGCACTATGTACTCTATATAATTTGACAAATTTTCTACCATTTGAAAATACCTGCACTAGAGATGCTGCAGTAAGCATTCCAACAACTTCACCACCCAATACTCTTCCATCAGGACCAGCTAGAGACACACTCAAGTTACTCATTCTGTTATGACCACTGTTATTTTCAGAATGTCGAGTAGAACCTGAAAGTGATATAATCTCAAATTGACCCTGTGAAAAAAAAAATGACGTGAAGTGAATCAAACTTAAATGCAAGTAAAAATAATAACATTCTGACTATTAAAAAGACATCATGAGAAGAACTATAGATGCAGCAAAATTTGATTCCTTCTCAGCAAAAAAATAAATAAAAAAAATATTAGTATTGTCATTTAAACTTCATTATTAATTATTAATCGATGCACCTTTACCAATTAAGAGTGTCTGAAAGATAGGAAGTAACATTTAAAAGCAATGACAAGAAAATGAAAGTTTCACACACAGCAGCACTAACACATGTAAATCACAAATTTGAACAATTGTATTTAAAAAAGGTTTAACCAAGAACTAAGGGTAAACCAGAATGAGAATCAAATTAGTGCACAAAGTCACTATTCTTCTGTGTTCCAAACTAGATTTTGGTTTGGAAAAAGTCAATAAAACCTGGCAGGATTAGGATTAAGTTAAGGAACATCTTCTTAATATAATAGTAATCTTCTTCTGTGTTCCAAAGTAGATTTTAGTTCCTATAGTCACTAAACTAGAGCTCATCAAGTAATCACAAAAACTTATAAATAGTGAGAGACCAATTGCAATATTTTATAATCAGAGGGTTTTAATATATATCCTAAAACAACTCAGCAAAAAGAGATTCTTAGTTGTTGGTTGGACCCAATCAAAACTGAAGAAAAGAGATATAAACTTGTGCACCAAAAAAGACCAACTTATGTGACAAGTAATATTGTGTGACTGACACCTCAAAATTTGTTTCTTCACAAGTCAAATTACCCATACATACAGAATCCCTATAGAGCTACTGCATGTTATCACAACATTTTCATTCAAACAATAGAAATACAATTTTCAAGACACTTTTCAGATCAAATTAAGCATTTAAAAAACACACTTCAAAATATTTTTTTCACAAAACAGATAGCTATCCAATCATTTTGAATCATTTATAGTTTTTACATCCATTCATTCACAGAGTTAAATCAAGATTGTGTACAAGAATTTATCCATTAAACCTAACTCTTAAGTATACAATATTTATTTGATATTTCTTTCCATAACAATTCTTAAGTAGATCTACCTACCTAATCTCATGGAAAAATAAAATATGTAATTTTTCTAAAAAAAATATAACATTCAGAATCTCGTATAAATGTTTCTGAATTCTGTTAGATTTCCCCTATATTCTGTTTCCCAAATAGAAAATTTTAACATAAATACGTGTATTTTAAAGTTCTGCTCGACAAACAGAACAACTAACATGCACACAAGCACACCAAACAAACAAATAATACGTCATATCATTAGCAATCAACACATAGAACAACAAAACTTTGAACAATGGTTATTGAAAGGATTCTAAAGGGATGTAAAAAGGTACCTCATAGGACACACCACCCCCAGAAGTTTCTGATTGCCTAAGGGTAACATTGCAGATTGCACCAGTAGCAGAGAGAATGCAAACTGTCCGCAGTCCTTGGTGACAAAAGGCCATAAGTTTTGCAGCAATATCCTACAAACAAAGAGAAGAACACTGCTGCAGTAAGAAACCCCCACCAAATATCAATAATAAGCTTAGTTACATTACAGAGCCAACACATAAGACTATAAGTCTATAACACAAGCTATTCAACAGTGAATAGTGAGTGAGAGATTGCAGTGCATACCTCGCCAGCTTCGGCTAAGATAACATGAGGAGTGAAACCAGTTCCACCGATTCCTGAGAAATAGAGGAAAAAGCACGATGAAAACAAATACAAAAGACAAAGACGCAGAGGAAAGAAGGAACAAGAAAACAGATGAAAGTGAAACGTAAACACACCGAGCGCGTCCATCTGCTTCTTTCCGGAGCCAGGGGGACGGCCGCGGTGCTTCTTAGCGGGAGGTTCGGCGGAGGAAGAGGAAGCATGGGTTGGGCCTGGGCCTGGGCCTGGGCCCAGACCCAGCGCAATGTTGCCATCGGGGGAGTATTTCCTGGGCCGGCCTCTCTTTTTCTTGGCGGAGTCCGAGGGAAGCCCGCACGGTTTCAACGTGGCCTCGCACGTGGCGGTGTTGTTGTTGTTGGCTGTGGTGGCGTCGTTGAAAGGGTCGGGCGGAGGGTTGCTGTTGAAAGGGAATCGCGCGGTGGCGGGGGCCATCACCGAGGGGTAGGAGGAGGCGGGGCCCACCATCATGCTTGGCGGTTGCGGCTGAGGCTGAGGCGGAGGCGGTTCCCGAGAATCCATCGCGGATCAAACGAGAGAAAAAGAAAGGAAAAACGAAAGCGAAACGGGAATGCGGTTGGATTGGATCCTGAGAAGAGAGTAATGTAACTAAGGAGTGATTGAAGAAGAAGAAGAAGGTGGTGATGAATGAAGAAGAAAATGCGGAGCGCTGAGTTAATTATAGGGGAACACGCGAATCGAACCGAGTCTCGGGGTTGTGTATTAATTTAGGGTTTTACTTTTAGATTTTGATTTTATTCCCTGTCTTACCCCTATTTTATTATTCTCACTTCCATGCTTTGACAACATTTGGATACGATAGTTACCCTTACCCATTCGCCGCTCCCTGTCAACTTCATCATCCTTCGCTTTCTACTTCTACTTTCTACAATCAACTTCTTCTTTTTCTTATATAAATAATTAAAATATTTGTACATTTTTTTTACTCTAAATAAATTTATTTTTTATTTTTAAGTTAAATTATTTTTTTGTTTTTTAAATTATCAATTTAGATAAATAATCTTTTTTTTCATCTTTTTAGAATTTCTTGTTTTGACTAATTTTAAAATTATTTGTCTTAAAAGTCCCTTTATGTATATTAATTAGGATTATAGATTGATTTTGACTTCTCTTTTATTTATACCAGTAAAAAAAAACATTTTGTACTTCTTAATTTTTAAAATAATTAAAAAAAGATAATTTAAGAATGATTGTAAGTGATTATTCATTAAATATGAGAGTTTTTTTTCAAAGGATACAATGATTCATTAAAAATAGATACCAAAACCAATTACACCATCTAGTAGTCTCTATAATTATCCCCTCTATAATTATAATAAAATTATAAATAATGTGTATAGTGTATAGATACTTTCATGTGGATTAGAGTAAACAATTTATAATTTTACTAAAAATTCTTAAAGAAGTTATGGCTTACTCTAATATAATTTTTTTTTTTGTAAAAAAATTAACATGTTGAATTGCTTTAATTGAATTTTTATTTTCAATTTTTAGATGAAAAATTAAATGCTTTCACTTCTAAAATTGTGTGTTTAGATAAGTAATCAATATTTTTTATTTTTTAAATTTATTGTTTTGGTAAAATATATAAATTCATTCGTTTTTTTAAAATTTTGTATGTAAATAAAATAATTAAACTTTTTAAAGATGAGAGAGGAGATAGAAAAGAACTATTAAATTGTTGACATTTTAGTGAATTTTTTTTAAAAATTATTTATTAAGATTTCCATTTAAAAACAAATAAGTATTAAATTTTATTTAATAAAATATCTAAACAAAAAAAAATATTCTAAAAATAAAGAAATCCTCTTGGAAATCACATTTCCTTTTAAAATACTTTGAATTTCAATTGATTAAAATTTAATTTAAATATTTAAAATATTATATTTCATTTAGTAAAATATCTAAACAATAAATTTTATTCTAAAATTTCAAATAGCCTTAAAAATTATATTTCCTTCTTAAAATACTCCATCTGTCGATTCAAGTATTTTATAAGTTTGTTTTACTCTTTATCTTACCTGTATGAAAAGTTTATACTGTTAGCATTTAAATATTAAAAGTATGATTATATTTTATTTGTAAATATAAAAATATAATAGATAATTAGGAAATATTACCTATTACCCATTAGTTCATTACCATGGTAACAATCACCTACTAATGTCACACAACTTCAATTTTACTAGATTTATTTTATTCACAAATAAAAGAATGCTGCATATGCCACATGAAAAATATATTTATAATTAGTTTGAAGTCGGATGTCTTCAACGGCAACAATTCAAAAGTAAAAGAAGAAAAAAAATAAAACAGATTTATAAGACTAACTAGAGATAACAAAATAGTATTTTTATTCTGAACAATATACAAAGTAAATGTTTATTTTAGGGTAAAAACTCTTTTTTTATCCTCAATTGTGTAACTCGTTCTCACCTTAGTTCTTCAAAGATTTAAAATAAAAATAAAAATAAAAAACTATCAAAGTATAAATTGTTTCTAACGTTCGTCTCGTCGTTAATGAAGTTCCATTAATTTTAATTTTAGAGTCTTGATGTAACGTTATGTGTGTGACAAGTTTTGTGTGATGAAGCTATCCACATGGGATGCCAACGTATTGAACAGTCACATGACCATTTTGATAGTACATTGTTAACTTTTAATTGTTTGCCAAGAGTTAAATTTAAATCCACGAAAGGGTTATTTTGTCATAATAGAGACTATTTTGTCTTCTTCCCTCACACTGTCCATCACCTTTCCATTTTCCTTCTCACGCATCATATCATCTCAAGTAGAATCTCCTCAACGATGTCCTCCCCAATAAGAGACTTTGTCTCTACTGGGGTCAAGCAACCCGATTGCTACGACGATATTAAAGAAGAATAGGCAACATTAGTCGTTGAAGCATGTTAATAGTACCCTGTTAAACACTTGTTTATCGTATATATACACAAAGTAGTTTTTCTCCTTGTTCAATTTGTGTTGCATGTATTTATTTGGTTGTCAATTTTGATGGATTTTGCATGTATGTTATTTGTCTTGGTCATTATTCTATTACGTTTTGGGTTATTGCATGATGTCATTATTGATTAACCCAATTCTTCACCACAAGGGTAGGTTCACAAAGAACGACAGGGAGTTACAGAAATATGTGGATGGAGAAATTTGTGTGTGGAAGGCATGCACACAGATTATGTAAATGTATTTGTCGTTCGTGATTTACGCATAACGTGTGGAAATTTTATTAGATTTTAGCAAGTTTTCTTCTTGGTGCCTAGAAAAGGGGTGTCGTTTGCATCTTCTAGAGAACGACGAAGATATCCATGCTATGGTTAGTGTTACTTGTGTCCAATTTGACAAAGACATACACGTTTACTTTGAGTACGTGGTGGATGAACAGCTTGAGATAATTCCATGTGGGAATGAAGCTGAGAAAATTAAGAGGATACAATTGAAAAGGAAGTCAAACTTATAAAAATTTGTGATTTTCAATAAATTTGATTTAATAAATTTCTGAATATATTTGATTAGGACCATGGTTGTTATTTATGAACAATGTTAAATATATGAACTTCGTATAAATATAAAGAAAATTAGTGTTTCTTTTTAGTTAACAGTTGTATAATTAATTTTCCATGAAGTATAGTTTAGGCGTACACATTTGTGTAATTGATTCTAAATTAGCGTGATTTATAGGATTTTATGTAAAGTCAGTTTGTAGTAATGTAATTTTTTGTTTGGATAATATACATTAAAAAACTATTTTTACACACTAGCATTTCAAAACTTAAATAAGAGTGTGTAATTATAGAAATCACCTGAGTTTAACTAAGGATATACATGGAACAAATAACACAACTATGGGTATACATGAAACAAATAACATGACTCGAGTTAGTATTGAAGCAAAGAACTACTTCTAACAGTTTTAATGAGATTATGTCTAAAACTTGAAATTATGTTTCCAACGCAATGTCAAACATCATAATCAACGACTAAATCACATTTAACCCATCTAGAATAAAGCTGAGACATGTCAAATAATATGTATCCAAATACACCCAAAATTGATTTTGTAAAAATGATCTTTTAAGTTACATGATTTATGTTTGAATGTTTTTATTCTAAAATAAGGTAGTAATAAAAGTTAGTATGAAACTTTTCATTCAGCCCATAAGTCTCCTAAAACTACTCCAAGACAAATTAAAGTATGAACCCAAAAATCAATTTTCAACTAATGGCATTGGAATTTCTCATGAAAAACTTGTTGGAGTTTAAGTGTAAAGTAAAGTCTAACATTAGTTAGAATTAGACATGTTGAGTAATATATAAGTGAGAAAGACCCACTTACCTAATGTTTTAATGTTTTAGATTATGTTATGGTGTCAAACTTACTTGTGTGACTTACTTATTACCTATTGTGTGGAGTGTTTTTTGCCGTAAAAACTTCCCAACAGTGGTATTAGAGCCGATAGTTCAACCAAGTGACTAGTGATCGACTCAGACGAGCATTGGTCAATACAATTGGCAATGGATAGATCCAAGAGAAGGATCCAGAATGGAATTGGCAGAAGATCCAATAGTGGGATCATCCCTTGTACTAAAAGTCTCCCTAGAGGTGTGAAGAGGACATGTGTTGTTGAAGTGCAACGACAGTGCAAGTAAGACTACCATTGAATACTCGTGATGCATGAAAGGCTTACGCTTGAGAGGGAACGTGACCATGTGGAAGGGGTTCACACTTGAAGAGGAGTGTTAAAGTTCAAGTATGAAGTAAACATTGATTAGAGTTTAACATGTTGAGTAATATATAAGTAAGAAAGACCCACCTACCTAATACCTTAATAGTGTGTTTGGATGAAAAATTTAAATGGAGTAATTCATTTATTTGAAGAATTTTAAATTCTTTGAGGTGAAATACCTTGTTTGGATGGAGAATTTATAAAGAATTTAAAATTCAAGCATTTATAAAATTTCTTGAAATAGTAGAATTTGAAATTCTCTTTAAAAAATAAGAATTTGAAATTCCTCATATTTTTTTCTTCTTCTTATTTTACTTATATATTTTATCTTATCTTACCTCTTCATGTTTTTAATTATTAAATATTATCTAATATTAAATTTTAAATTTATTAAATATTTAAAAATTAGCTAATATTTATTTTTATAAAATTTAGTTCAAAAATTTCAACATATAAATTTATTTTTAAAATTAATTTTACCATGGTAGAATCAAATTATTATATCCAACTTAACAATTTAAAATTTAAAAAATTTGAATTGACTTATCCAAACAAAATATTTTAAGAATGATAGAAATTGAAATCAAAGTAATTTAAATACAAAAAATTTAAAATTTCTTGAATTTGTAAAATCCATCATCCAAATACACCATAAAATTTTAAGTTATTTTGTAGTGTCAAACTTGTTTATGTAATTTACTTATTATCCATAGTGTGAAATGTTCCTTATTATAAAAATTTCCCAACAAAAGTTATAGCCACGTGTTAAATAAGATGGGTCGAGGATTATTTATATAATTTGCAATGTTACAAACATGTTTGTAATTTACAATTGATTGATTATGGATGCATATCTCATTTTGACCCATCTCTGTGACTAAATATAAATCTAATGTATGTATAACAATAACTAAATCTACTGTAGTCATAATTATAATTATAGTTGATATAAAAAGTGAACATGTATCTATAACTTTTATATATTCAAATCTAAAGGTTAGTAAGTTGTGCTAAAAGTAATCGTTCTCAAATAATTAGATATAGATCTTTTTTTAGTGTAGTACAAACTACAAAATGCGACCACAATATTAGAAAGAGAAAAAGTAGTTTGATATGTTTTTAATTTCTGTAAATATGGTAACTTTTTTCTTTTCTAGATATATATTCAAAAAAATTATTAGTTCTAGTCATTATAAAATTTAGAATTTTGAAAATGATTGCATTAACTTTTATGGCATAACTTCCCAAGTCATTTTATAATACCAGTGAGTTTATTCGACCAAATCATCCTACTAGTCGCTTACCTACGAGTTTATTATTCCAAATACCTGCATTGAAATTAAAAAACTAGTCTTTGATCTAACAAAACTTATTTTGTCAAAAAATATTAAGCATTTCCTTTGGCTCTCTTAATTTATCATTCAATATTTTTAAAAATTATTAATAATTAAAAATAACATTATGTGATAGAATAAATTGTTTATAATAATTTTAAAATGTAATTTGCATGTATTTAAAAGTTTTTCTTTATTATGAATTATAATTATATAAAATAAACATTTATTCTGTATAAATAAAATACTAGTTATTTTAAAATTTAATCTTTGTGAAATAATTATATTATTATGTTGTTAAAATTAAATGTTTCAAAATAAATTATTAATAATATTTATTTTAGATTATTTTTTACTTAGTTAACACGAAAATCTCATGTTTTAAACAATATTTAAGTCACAACAATTTAATAATCATTGACTTTATAAACTTAAAAAAACAAAAAAATAGGTTGTTAATGAAAATTATTTTATAACTAAAAGATATGTTATTTGAGTAAACATTCAATTTGGTATAAAAGATGATAAAAGTGACTTTGAATAATTATTTGTGAGATCCAAGTCCCTGAATTTTATTTCTTTTATGTCAGTTAGTCATTTTATTATATTTAGTTACTAACTTTGTTAGTTTCTTAAATAGTCGGGTTAACACTTATTCTCTCTTTTAATTGATTATTTTCTCTCTTAATTACCTAATATTGACCATAATACATAGTTTTGATACTTTGCAATCAATAATAAATACTAGGTCATATTTAAATATTATGATCATAGATGCTCTGATTAAAATGAAAGGTTATTATTGAGTTTTATGAGATTTCTTGTAATTGGATTTTTCTATTTTGGTCATCCTTATTTTCTTTATATTTTCTAACTACAAGTTTAGGATTATAAATATTAAATTATTAAATTTAAGATTTAGTAAAATGAGTAATCGTTCTTGAAAATCTTAAGTAAGGATGTGTCAATCAAACATAAACATGAGTATTTCTATTATAGATAATGAATCACAAAACTCTTATGATAGAAGTAGAAAATAACTTAGTGATAATGATTTTCTATGTTAATTAAGAGATAAAATAAATGTGACAATTAACTATTTTCTAGTCATAAAACTAACAAAGTTGGTAATTAAATATAACAAAATGATTAACTTATATAAAAAGGTTAAAATTTAGGAACTCAAGTACTAAAAGAAATCTCAAAGGATTTATCAGCTATCACTACCATTTTTTATAGTGATATGTCTTTTTGATATACATATTTTATTGACTTTTTTGTTCATCAATTTTCAAAACACTTTTTTTTATTTGGTTTCTATTTTATTTTTTTTCTCTAATTTACTGTAAATTTATTTTTCAAACTTCCTACTCCTTCTAAATAATCACTTAACTAGACATATTTTTAATTATTTTTTAAAAATATATATGTTTTTTTTACGTTAGTAATTAAAAATAATGACATTCATTAAAACAACTCAATAAAATAGTGTAAACCAATACATATAAAAAATTATATTTTCATTCTTGTTGATTATATTAAATTTATTAATTAATCATTTAAAAAATAATTAATTTTTATATTAATTACCTTCAAAGTTGTATTAACCATAAATACTAATTTATTAACATAAAACTTTTATATCAATAACCCATTGAAATTAAAATTTTACAGAAGGGTTTCCTTCTATCTAGTGTCCCCTAAAAATGTTATAAAATTTAAAAACCGTAATTTATGATTAGATAAAATAAAAGTGTAAAAACTTGTACAATCTCATTAATCTAGTATATTTTATTTGTAATTAAATTAAAAAATAAATAGTTCACCAAAAAAAGTCACGGGAGGCGCACGTGCCGTCAAATTGAATTGCTGAACGGGGTTTGGATGTTTCAATATTGGTTGCCAAATACGCTGACTAGCAAGAGCAAGTCTCCAGCGTTTCTCATTTTCTTCTTCTCGCCGTCGACGCCGTTTGTTTGCTTCTCCTCCTCCTCGCCACAGATCTGCGGCGGAGCCACCGTATCTGATTCTTCGTATTCTTCTGGAAGCTCTTCGTCTGAGAATTTGGAAATCGATACACCGGATCGGAGATGCCGGTGGCTGCTTCCGCTATATACTTCTTAAACCTCCGCGGCGACGTTCTCATCAATCGCCTCTACCGTGACGATGTTGGGTAACATCTCTTCTGCTTCTCTCTCTTTCTCCTTCTAATTTCCACCTTACTGCTTGGTGATCTTTAGCCATGAAATGAAATGAAAACCAACCGTTTCAATTGTTTGTACTCTCGAATGCTCTATGACCTATTTTTCGCCATTTTTGTGTTAACGAGCTCGGATTATGGAAAATAAGATGTGTTTGTTTGTCGTTTACGTGTTAGGTTCGTCGTAGTTGCTTGTAGGAAAACAATTAAGCATGCTTCAATAGAAGTAGAGAAGCCTGTATTAAGAAACATCGCGTTTTCAATTTTCAAACAATTTTTTGCTATTCGCCGAACATTTCCTTGTATTGCAGTTAGGACTAGTTACAGTGAGTTTCTGCTTTTGGAGTACACCGGAACTTGTTGATTGAGCTGTTAGCAGTTTATTTGTGATTTCATTGGGGGCAATATCGTGTCTTCTAATTCCTAGCTTTACAGGGGAAATATGGTTGATGCTTTTCGGACACATATAATGCAAACAAAAGAACTTGGTACATGTCCTGTGAGGCAGATTGGCGGTTGCTCTTTCTTTTACATGAGGATCAGCAATGTTTACATCGTGATTGTCGTCAGCAGCAATGCTAATGTAGCGTGCGCTTTCAAGTTTGTTGTTGAGGTATTTAACCACTTGCTGTCACTGCCTTATCTGATGATGTATGGCTTTGTCTGTTCAATTATGATTCAGGATGCTGTCTTTGTTGCTTGTGTATTGCTTATTTGATTATAGTAAACATTTACATATGGTTATGTAAACGACCATGATTGATTATATGTCCTCTTTGCAGGCTGTTTCACTATTCAAATCATATTTTGGCGGTGCCTTTGACGAGGATGCAATTCGCAATAACTTTGTACTCATTTATGAACTCCTAGATGGTATGTATTTATCCGGTGATGAATAGGTTTCCATATCAGTTCAATTTTGTTGGTGGTCTCTAATCCATGCTAATGCTGAAAGTCAATGCATGGGTTTTAGTTTCCTATAATTTTAAAAACCGTTATTAGTTAGAAGAATATATTCTGGATAAGTTCATATATATGTTCAAAGTTTAAGTCAAGAGTTACATGTGAAAGTGGGTACCTACCCAGCTACCCTAAAAAGGGAGATGCAAGAGTATTACTGTGCACTACAAAATATTTATGTGATTTTAATTTTCTGGAAATATTATATACAAACACACAAGTCATGACATAATTTATGTAACTGGGTTTTCACTGGGAAAAACATAAAGAATCTTCTTCTAAACTAATACATTTATTTACGGTGACAAAACCTTCAGGTTGACGAGGGGAATCATACATTTTCTTTGTTGCAATTTTGGTGCCTCTTGCAAACTCTATTATATGGGTAAAAGTAGCTTGCCAAATAGTTATAATTCCATTTGCCCTTCAGAATTTGAAGGAACTACCATGGTTACAATAGGTAGTAAACTAAGGCTTGCTAGTGAAATGTAACAGAAGTGGCTGGTATCTTATGCATGCATATGTGAAACTGCAACAGTGCACTTGATAACTGTTCTGGATCTATCTATTTTGTCATCAGGTTGAAACAAATATGTTTTGCCAAGTCAAATCTTGTGTAATAATAAAAGACCAAGTAGTGTTTTCATGACAAAAGTATTTAACATTTGAATTTGAATGGGTTTATGTTAAATATTTACACATATTTGCAGAAATCATGGACTTTGGTTATCCTCAAAATCTTTCACCAGAGATCTTAAAGCTTTATATCACTCAGGAAGGAGTGCGTTCCCCATTTTCATCCAAGGTTAGTCTGCACAAGCTATCGTAAACACATTTGAAGTAAGTACATGAGTGCGAACTTGATAGAACACTGGATCACATTGACGTGAAAAATAGAAAAGGAAACGGAATCTTGGATCACATTTTGAACAGCCCACAGATTGGGCTGTTCAAAATGTGATTTCACAAGTTAGTGGCTCTGTGTGTGCATGTGTTATCTGTCTGTCCATTTGCTTTTGTTTTGTTTTAACATTTCATAATATGTTGTGTTGTTTGAATATTCCACTAAATCCTTTAATTCATCTTGTGCCACGTGCAATGGTTGGGGGGCACAGCCGTCAGATAGACCTGTTCCAAATGCAACTTTACAAGTTACTGGTGCTGTTGGTTGGCGGAGAGAAGGCCTTGTATACAAAAAGAATGAGGTGAGTTCTTTACTATCGTACTTCCATTCTTTATCATTATTGCCTTACTATTGCAAGTTTACAACATTGATCCATGGCAGGTCTTCTTGGATATTGTGGAGAGTGTGAATCTTCTTATGTCTTCAAAAGGTAAGTCATGAATTTTGGTTGTCTTCACATTGGTGTTTGCTTGATTGCATGCTAATTGTTATGATTTTAGGTGTTGTTCTACGCTGTGATGTTACGGGGAAGATTCTTATGAAGTGCTTTCTTTCGGGAATGCCTGATTTAAAATTGGGTTTGAATGACAAAATTGGCCTTGAGAAAGAGTCACAACTTAAATCTCGTCCTACTAAAAGGTAGTTTTCATTTGGACACAGTTCCCCTCATTTTCCTTCAAATGTTTGTCCTGTTACATTATCATAGAGAATTATGTTTTTACTTGTTTTTCCTCTAAAATTAGTCTGTTTTGAGTGTTGTGCTGGGAGGATAGTTCATCCTTATGTGTTTATTTGCTCTGCTATAATAGTAATATTGTTTTCTATTGTCAACAAATCTGTTTTGCAGTGGTAAAACTATTGAACTTGATGATGTCACTTTCCATCAATGTGTAAATTTGACGAGGTTCAACTCAGAGAAGACAGTTAGTTTTGTGCCACCTGATGGTGAATTTGAACTAATGAAGTAAGCTCCTGCCTTTTCATTATATCTCATTTTATATTAAATTTTGTGAATCTATAGCAAACGTATTACATGCATATGCTTTGGTTGGAAAAAGGGTGGGTAGATGGTTTAGCGATTCCTTCTCTTTGCCCTTATTTTTTTTGATTAATTATTTCAAACCACTGTTGGTTCTACTAGGCACTTGATAATCTATTTTTTGGTAGATTTTCATCATCAAAATTTGATTGCGACAATGGATTATTTGCATCCCTATGTTATGATTTAAGCTTTCTATGAAAGAGCTTTATTCCATCTACGACACCCTAATAGGCCACCAAAAGCACTATTGAAAGCTAATTTTGCTAAGATTAATATTGCTAATTGCTTACAACTGCCCAACGTACATAAATCCAGTTCTATTACCAAGGAGCTTAGTCAAGGGGTGCATCTGGATCTTTCTTATGATTTACAAGCATCCATTTCTTCAGTTTATTAAGTTTTCCTTGCCTTTGCTACAAATTTAAATTATTTGCTATTACGGAAATGTATTATATGTTCATGCCGTATGCAGTTTCCTATTATCCAAGTTTCACTTATTTAGAAAGATGGTTAGGCTCCCTTAGTTGTTAGATTACTTTCTTCCTTTCATAATGTTTGTGGCATTGAAGTGATTATCATCTTCTGCACAGCACCAGCTCATCATGAAATTCAAAGAATATTTAGTAGCTTCAAAAAGACTATTTTACCATTTTGCATCACTTATTATTAAAATCACAAGTGATATAGGATCGGTGAATTTTTAACAGTGCCAGAATGGTCATTGGTTTTATCTAATATCTGTTAATATCATTTTATATTCGTAGATATCGTATCACTGAGGGTGTTAATCTTCCCTTCAAAGTATTGCCAACCATTAAGGAACTTGGTCGAACACGGATGGAAGTAAACGTTAAGGTTTGAAAATTTTCATGTTGAAGGCCAAATTTATTGTAGGTCATTTATCCCCCACTCTTTATTTATTTATTAACATGTTTTTCAGGTAAAGAGTGTCTTTGGTGCAAAAATGTTTGCACTAGGGGTTGTTGTCAAAATTCCTGTGCCAAAACAAACTGCGAAAACGAGTTTCACAGTCACATCTGGCCGAGCAAAGTATAATGCAGCTATTGATTGTTTAGTTTGGAAGTAAGAGTCTCATTTTTATTATGATTACTATGTGAAACAAAGGTTGTTGAAAATGGTTTTCAGACCCTAACTTAGATCTTGAATAACATATAAAGTGGCACTAGTGAAAACATAAATCTGCATGCTTTTAATTTGTAATTTTATTTTTTTATAATCATGTGTGAAATGTGTTGTTTTACATTGGTAGAGTATGATGGGTTTCCCATTTTTAAAAAAAATTTAAATTGCTAGGGTTCTGTTTATTATGTGGTTCGGTTCTAACATCCAACTCTGTTCTTAATTTGCAGAATAAGAAAATTTCCTGGGCAAACTGAGCCAACCTTGAGTGCAGAAGTTGAACTTATTTCCACGATGACAGAAAAGAAATCTTGGACTAAACCGCCGATACAGATGGAGTTTCAGGTTTGTTTTGCTTAACCAATTCCTTGAAAATGGCTGGATCCCGATTGCCTTAAAATATTTGTGAAAGCTTATTCATGAAAATGGTTGGAATTGGATATGTAATCAATCCAGCATAATGTCCAGCTTTATTGTATATGTGGGAATTAAAGAAATTTGGAGTTAGGACTTAGGACCTGTATGTTCATTATTATTATATTAATTATAGTAATGTATATTTAGGCGTAGCGTAGGTCTAAGGCATTGACACAGCCTTTTCTTTTTCTCTATCTCTGACAAAATATTTTTTAAACTTTCCTTTTTATTTTTGGCCAAGTTTAATGAATAATAGCCTTCACTTCTGATGTAATATATCACATTCTCCTGTCGAGGTTATCTCTCCAAAGTCCAAACTCGCTTCCTATGTAGTAGCAGCAGTAGCTTGATGTAATAGTCTTATATTTCTGTATTGTTAATGCAGGTCCCCATGTTCACGGCATCTGGTTTACGTGTGCGTTTCCTAAAGGTATCCATCATTCCCTTCTGACTTATTAGGCTTTTTTTTTTTTTTTTTTGTTCTGCATTTTTTTAAAATTCAGGGATTTATTTAATTTACTCTCTGAAGGTGTGGGAGAAGAGTGGATACAACACTGTTTAGTGGGGTCGGTTTATTTCAAAAGCAGGATCATACGAGATAAGGTGCTAGGCGACACATCTTGTAACGTCCGGATTAATAGGCGGAGATTGATGCAATCCCAAATACTTAAAGGCGCTGTTCTGTGTAGTTATTCCATTATACTTGAGTTTCTTGTTAAGGTTTAGGCGTCCCTCATCATAGTGTGCTGTCAAAATGATTGTGTTCGTGAAAAATCAGTTTGAGTATTTTTTATTCTAAGGCCAGCTTGTTAACGGAACTTTACAATTGATTTTATCTCCCTTGTAAACATTGTATTTTATTTTAATGATAATTTTCACTGAGTGGTGCATTCTGTAACTTTTACACTTCATATTGGAGTTGATCTATACTGCTTGAAAAGATATATGGTTGCTCATTAATTAAACACGGATTCGTTGCTTCGAGGGAAAAAGTCCTCTTTTAAGATTGATAGAATAAATAGCAAGCTGACTAGTTGAAAAAGTAATCTGGTATTGACTAACTCGGTGGTTGCAGCGCTCCTATCATATGACATGAAGGTACATTGATACCCTCAACATGTATGTATATTTGTGGATAGATCTATCAGAAAATTTATCTGGAGTGGACAACATGATAACGGATTGCACATGGTAATTTGGGATATAATAGCAAAACGAAGAAAGCGTGGTGGTCTTGGGATCCGAACTACGAGGAACCAAAACACTACGCTATTAGGAAAGTTCCTTTGAGACCCTATTCATCCTAACAATCTTTTGTGGGTCTTTTTGTTAAGAGATAAATATGTTGACCATGACAATTATTTGTCTTCCAGACAAAAAAAGAAAAGATCTACAACATGGAATGCTATTATAAAAGCCTTGGACTGTTTAGAGGAAGGATTTTCAATTAAGTTGGGTGTGTGCGAACTTAACATATGGTATGATTCTTTTGTAAAAAAAAGAATATGGTATGAGTCTTGGGTTCTGAAGGAACTGTTTACGGATTATTTATGTAATTATGTTCCCTGCGTGTGATTTTGACATATTATTGGAATAAAGATATTGAATTATCAATTAACTTCTATATATACATGAATTTCTATCATACATGAAAGGATTTTTAAGAAAGTTTTCTTTTACAAAGAGAGTTTTTGAGATTTTCTTTAAGTTATTAAATTTAATTTTTATTTATTATAATTATTTATAAATTTTAATTCTTATATATTAAACATGAATCTATGTTACAAAAATATTTTTAGAGACTTTTTTTAAATTTTTATTTAATTCAATTTTTATTCATCATAAATATTTATGAATTAAATTTTAATATTTAAAAAAATATCAAATAATAAATAATATTGTGCTATCATATAAATTATTTATCATAAATCTAAAATATAATTCATATGTTTAAAAATATCTATTTATACAAATTTTAAGTATGATTTATATATTTAAACATAATATTTATCACGAAAATCTCATGTTTTAAATAATATTTAAGTCACAACAATTTAATAATCATTGACTTTATAAAATTATTAAAAAAATAGATTGTTAATTAAAATCATTTTATAAATAAACATATGTTAATCATTCTCAAAAATCACCATAACTAAGAATGACAATTTTCATTTAAAAGAAACCAGTAAGTAGTGACCAATACCATATAAAAAAAATTATATTGTCATTTAATTATTGCCGAGTATAATAAATTTATTAATTTTTATGTTGATTACCTTCAAAGGTATATTAACCATAAATATTAATTAATTAACACAGTAAAAATTTTATATTAATAATCCATAGAAATTAAAAAATTTAAAAAGGCTTTCCTTCAATCTAGTGTCCCCTAAAAAATATTATTTATTTAATTTGTTTAAAATAAAATATGACTTCGTGTATCCCGAACCCAACTGACTCCATTTCCAGAAATACTTCATAACTTACCATTTTTGTAATTTTAGAAAAATTACCGCACAAAAGCCACAAAAATACTGACTAGCGAGTCTACAGCACTTCTCATTTTCTTTTTCTCTCCGTCAACGGCATTAGTTGCTCCTCCTCCTCCTCGCCACAGATCTGCGGCGGAGCCACCGTATCTGATTGTTCCTCTTCGCCGGAGAGTTTGGAAGTCGATACACTGGATCGGAGATGCCGGTTGCTGCTTCTGCTATATACTTCTTAAACCTCCGTGGGGACGTTCTCATCAATCGCCTCTACCGTGACGATGTTGGGTAACATCTCTTATGTTTCTCCCTCTCTAATCTCTACCTTGCTGCTTAGTGGAGATTTTTAGCCATGAAATGAAATGAAAACGAACTGTTTCTATCGTTTGCACTCTCGAATGTGACTCGGATTCTGGAAAATAAGCTTTGCTTGATTGTCTTTTACGTGTCGTCGTAGTTGCTTGTAGGAAAACAATTAAGCATGTTTCAATAGAAGCCTGTATTTAGTAGCATCATGTTTTCAATTTTCAAAGAATTTTTTGCTTTGCGCCGAACATTTCCTTGTAATGCAGCTAGGAATAGTGACAGTGAGTTTTTACTTTTGGAGTGCTACTTCTTGAAACACTGGAACTTGTTGATTGAGCTTTTGGCAGTTTATTTGTGATTTCATTGGGAGCAATATTGTGTCTTCTAATTCGTGGCTTTATAGGGGAAATATGGTTGATGCTTTTCGGACACATATAATGCAAACAAAAGAACTTGGTACTTGTCCTGTGAGGCAGATCGGTGGCTGCTCTTTCTTTTACATGAGGATCAACAATGTTTACATCGTGATTGTCGTCAGCAGCAATGCTAATGTAGCGTGCGCTTTCAAGTTTGTTGTTGAGGTATTTAACCACTTGCTGTCACTGCCTTATCTGATGATGTATGGCTTTGTCTGTTCAATTATGATTCAGGATGCTGTCTTTGTTGCTTGTGTATTGCTTATTTGATTATAATTAACATTTACATATGGTTATGTAAACGATCATGATTGATAATAGGTCCTCCTCGCAGGCTGTTTCACTATTCAAATCATATTTTGGTGGTGCCTTTGATGAGGATGCAATTCGCAATAATTTTGTACTCATTTATGAACTCCTAGATGGTATGTAATCCATATCAATTCAATTTTGTTGGTGGTCTCTAAAGCATGCTAATGCTGAAAAGCAGTGCAATGGTTTTAGTTTAGTTACCTATAATTTTAAAAACTGTCATTAGTTAGAAGAATATCTTCTGGATAAGTTCATATATCTGTTCAAAGTTTAAGTGAGGAGTTACATGTGAAAGTGGGCACCTACAATGAAGAGGGAGATGCAAGAGTATTACTATGTTCAATATAAAATATTTATATGATTTTAATTTTCTGGAGATATTAAATACAAATACACAAGTCATGTCATAATGTATGTAACTGGGTTTTTTCTGGGAAAAAACATAAAGAATCTTCTTCTAACCTAATACATTTATTGATGGTGACAAAACCTTCGGGCTGGTCAGGGGAAGGATACATGTCTTTGTTGCAAATTTTGTGCCTCTTGCAAACTCTATTATACAGGTAAAAGTAGCTCGCCAACTTGTTATAATTCTATACGCCCTTCAGAATTTGAAGCAACTACCATGGTTATAATAGGTAGTAAACTAGGGCTTTGCTAGTGAAATGTAACAGAAGTGGCTGGTTTCTTATGCATGCACATGTGAAACTGCAAGAGTACACGTTAAAGACCAAGTTGTGTTTTCATGACAAAATTATTTATCCTTTGAATTTGAATGGGTTTATGATAAATATTTACACATTTGCAGAAATCATGGACTTTGGTTATCCTCAAAATCTTTCACCGGAGATCTTAAAGCTTTATATCACTCAGGAAGGAGTGCGTTCCCCATTTTCATCCAAGGTTAGTTTGTTCATGCTATTGTACACATTGAAGTAAGTACATGAGTGTGGACTCGATACAACACATACATGGATCACATTAACATGAAAAAAAAAAAAAATAGGAATTTTGGAGTATAGAATATATATAGTTGCATGAATATATGAAAATACCAAATAACATTTTGTCAGAGGGAGTATAGGGGGAACAGCCCACAGATAGACCCGTTCAAAATGTGACTTCATAAGTTAGTGCAATGTGTGGATGTGTTATCTGTCTGTACATTTGTTTTTTTTAGTTCATATTTCCTAATATGTTGTGTTGTTTGAATATTTCGCTAAATCCTTTAATTCATCTTTTTCCATGTGCAATGCTTGGGGGGCACAGCCGTCAGAAAGACCTGTTCCAAATGCAACTTTACAAGTTACTGGTGCTGTTGGTTGGAGGAGAGAAGGCCTTGTATACAAGAAGAATGAGGTGAGTTGTGTACTATACTACTTCCATTCTTTATGATCATTTCCGTACTATTGCAAGTTTACAACATTGATCCATTGCAGGTCTTCTTGGATATTGTGGAGAGTGTGAATCTTCTTATGTCTTCAAAAGGTAGGTCAAGAATTTTTGAAGTCTTCACGTTGATGTTTGCTTGATTGCATGCTAATTATTAAGATTTTAGGTGTTGTTCTACGTTGTGATGTTACGGGGAAGATTCTTATGAAGTGCTTTCTTTCGGGAATGCCTGATTTGAAATTGGGTTTGAACGACAAGATTGGCCTTGAGAAAGAGTCGCAACTTAAATCTCGTCCTACTAAAAGGTAGTTTTCATTTGGACACAGTACCCCCCATTTTCCTTCAAATGTTTGTCCTGTTACATTATCATAGAGAATTATGTTTTTACTTGTTTTTCCTCTAAAATTAGTCTGTTTTGAGTGTTGTGCTGGGAGGATAGTTCATCCTTATGTGTTTATTTGCTCTGCTATAATAGTAATATTGTTTTCTATTGTCAACAAATCTGTTTTGCAGTGGTAAAACTATTGAACTTGATGATGTCACTTTCCATCAATGTGTAAATTTGACGAGGTTCAACTCAGAGAAGACAGTTAGTTTTGTGCCACCTGATGGTGAATTTGAACTAATGAAGTAAGCTTCTGCCTTTTCATTATATCTCATGTTATATAAAATTTTCTAAATCTATAGCAAACGTATTACATGCATGTGATAGACCAAACGCTATCAATATGCTTTGTTGGGAAAAGGGTGGGTAGATGGGTTTAGAAAGATGGTTAGGGTCCCTTAGTTGTTAGATTACTTTCTTCCTTTCATAATGTTTGTGGCATTGAAGTGATTAGCATCTTCTGCACAGCACTAGCTCATTATGAAATTCAAAGTATATTTAGTAGCTTCAAAAAGACTATTTTACCATTTTGCATCACTTGGTATTAAAACCACAAGTGATATAGGATCAGGTAAATTTTTAACGGTGCCAGAATGGTCATTGGTTTTATCTAATATCAGCTAATATTTTTTTTTATTTTTGTAGATATCGTATCACTGAGGGTGTTAATCTTCCCTTCAAAGTATTGCCAACCATAAAGGAACTTGGTCGAACTCGGATGGAAGTAAATGTTAAGGTTTGAAAATTTTCATGTTGAAGGCAAATTTATTGAAGGTCATCTATCCTCCACCCATTTTATATATTTATTAACATGTTTTTCAGGTAAAGAGTGTCTTTGGTGCAAAGATGTTTGCACTAGGGGTTGTTGTCAAAATTCCTGTGCCGAAACAAACTGCAAAAACAAGTTTCACAGTCACATCTGGCCGAGCAAAGTATAATGCAGCTATTGATTGTTTAGTTTGGAAGTAAGAGTCTCACTTTATTATGATTACTATGTGAAACAAAGGTTGTTGAAAATAATTTTCAGACCCTAACTTAGATCTTGAATAACATATATAGTGGCCCTAGTGAAAACATAAATCTGCATGCTTTTAATTTGTAATTTTATATTTTGATAATCATGTGTGAATGTGTTGTTTTACATTGTTAGAGCATGATAGGATTCCCATTTTAAAAATAAATAAATAAATAAATTGTTAGGGTTCTGTTTTTTATGTGGTTCAGTTCTAACATCCAACTCTTCTTAATTTGCAGAATAAGAAAATTTCCTGGGCAAACTGAGCCAACCTTGAGTGCAGAAGTTGAACTTATTTCCACGATGACAGATAAGAAATCTTGGACAAGACCGCCAATTCAGATGGAGTTTCAGGTTTGTTTTGCTTAACGAATTCCTTGAAAATGGCTGGATCCCGATTGCCTTAAAATATTTTTTGAAAGCTTATTCATGAAAACGGTTGGAATTGGATATGTAATAAGTCTAGCTTAATGTCTAGCTTTATTGTATATGTGGGAATTAAGGAAATTTGGAGTTAGGGCTTAGGACCGTTGACACGGTCTTTTCTTTTTCTCTATCTCTGACAAAATACTTTTTAAACTTTCCTTTTACTTTTTGGCCAAGTTTAATTGAATATTGGCCCTCACTTTAGATTTAATATATCACATTCTCCTGTCGAGGTTATCTATCCAAAGTCCAAAGTCCAAACTCGCTTCCTATGTATTAGCAGCAGTAGCTTGATGTACTAGTCTTATATTTCTTGATTGTTAATGCAGGTTCCCATGTTCACGGCATCTGGTTTACGTGTGCGTTTCCTAAAGGTATCCATCATTCCATTCTGACTTATTAGGCTTTTGTTTTTTTGGTTCTGCATTTTTCTTAGAATTCAGTGATTTATTTAATTTACTCTCTGAAGGTGTGGGAGAAGAGTGGATACAACACTGTTGAGTGGGTTCGTTATATTACAAAAGCAGGATCATACGAGATAAGGTGCTAGGCGACACATCTCGTAACGTCCGGATTAATGGGTGGAGATTGATGCAACCAAATACTTAAAGGCGCTGTTCTGTGTAGTTATTCAATTATAGTCGAGTTTCTTGTTAAGGTTTAGGCGTCCACCATCATATAGTGCGCTGTCAAAATGATTATGGTCGTGAAAAATCAGTCGAGTATTTTTTATTCCAAGGCCAGCTTGTTGATGAAAATTTCTAATTCATTCTATCTCCCTTGTAAACATTGTATTTTATTTTAATGATAATTTTCACTGAGTGGTGCATTCTGTAACTTTTACACCATATCGGAGTTGATCTATACTGCTCGAAAAGATATATAGTTACTCATTAAACGGATTTGTTGCTTCGAGGGAAAAAAGTCCTCTGAGATAGGAAAACTAAGTTATGATAAATAGTAATCAAATTCTCTTCTGGATTCTTTGTTTTCATAGTTGCAGTTCTAGTTTGTGTGGGATACACACGGGAGCTATTTCCTCCTAAAAATTAATTTCCTTGCCTACTAAATTACCAATATTAAAAAAACGTCCACCTTCAATATTATTAATGTAAAAAAACTAATGATGCTTTCACACGCATGGTAAATTTAAAATATTTCCATTCGTTACACATTTCTATGAATATTAATGCAATGTGTTAGATGGTTGAAATAATACGTCTTTGGTTTGAATCTTGTTATATCTTTATAATTTCAATTGATTGAAAAATATCATATTTTGTTTTATATACGGATTAGATTTATAGAATATTCCTATGTCATTGGGCATATTTCTATGAAAAAGTATTCTGCCAAATCACAACGTTCCATCCCTTTCAGTATACATAATATACAATGAAGGAATGAGAATACTCATAAAAAATATTAAATCAAAATAATATTATTAATAAGTAAAAAAGTATTATATCAATATAAAATAAAAATACCAACAAAATAATATAGAAGTCACGAGGTAATAACATAACAGTCGAACACTAATAACGAAAAAAAAAAAGAGACTAAAATACTACACTGTTGAATCTTTGATTCTTCGTCTTATTATTATTATTTTATTCTAATTTGGTTTCTTTAAGTTTAAAATTTTCTATTTTATTTCATTAAAATGTTTCCTTAAATCAAATTGCTTATTTCTATCATTTTTTTTTCACAAAATGTGTTAATTTTGAATGACCCGACAAACATTTATCTCTTATATGATGTATAATTTTCCAGATTTTCACTAATCACCATGTTGATCAACTTGGTATAGTAAAGGAAGAATCAATTTGGTCTAACAAAGATAAACTTTTAAAGGTTAAAAATATTTATTTTAAATTATAAGAACTAAAAGTAAACAAATTTAACCGATTAAAATTGTATTTTAACCTACAAATTATTAGTAGAGAAAAATAAAATAGAAAATGAAGATATGTAGTGGAATTGGAACGTCAGTGAGAAACTTGAGAGTGGATTGGTTGGTGAGTCGGCTATATATACATTCCCTTCCCTGCAACAATCGAGGTTGGAATCATGAGATTTTTCAGAAAGATAATTGGAATTTTAGGGTTTGGAAACCACGACCACGACCACGATTCCAAGGATGACGCCGACGACGAACACGACGCCAAA